CCAGGACGCTTTCAATTAATGTCTAGTCTACCCATTTGCTATATTTTCTCGTTTGTTTTACTAATTTTTGACCAATTAATAAGCATGTTTTTGTATTAAAAATTGATATTCAAATTCCCCGCCATATTTTCATAATTTGGTGCATGCGCAGACGTTTTTCCGCGGTGCTCCGCGCGCGTGGTAAAGACTCGTATCAAAATTTTAACTAGCTATAGTATAGCTCAAATGAGGATGAAAATTATAGTTTCAAATCTCCCTTGCGTTTAACTGCAGACTCTCGTCAACTTTGCTTCAAATTTTGATGAGAGTTGAGAGTTTTCGCTTTACGCGAGCGGTAATCAATCCAGTCCAGCGGTAATCAATCCAATTGGACAAAAATTTCATCACAGCTTGAAAGAGCATCACAAAATTAGTAATATTCCAAAGTTTCGTTGCGAAATGTTGTAAAATGCGGATAATATAGCCTTGCGAAATTTGCAATTTTCAGTCATTTTGTATTACAAACGGGAAATTGATGCCCCAACACCCGGGCTGTCAATTTCCCGTGCGTAATACAAAATGATTGAAAAACGGCAAACTTCGCAAGGCTATATTATCCGCATTTAACAACATTTCGCAAAGAAACTTTGGAATATTACTAATTTTGTGATGCTCTTTCAAGCTGTGATGAAATTTTTGTCTAGATCAAAATTTAGTCTATAATGCAAATGGTCCATTCTCATCTTTACAAGTTTAATTGACAAGAGCTGAAGTTAATAAGTTGCGAAAACATGATCGAATATGCAGGTTCAAAGCAGGCTTGTGTCAACTTTATGTTGACATGCAGTGTTGGGCTTAATATAGGATATGGCTTAGTTGCCTTATAAATAGATAAAAAATAACCACATTTTAAACAAATATGTGAATTTGCCAAGGTTAAGATTAAGCTTCAAGCATCTTAAGGCAACTTCAGCTTGGCAAAAACATCGGGCAATATACAGAATTGTATATGGATTTATGTTATAACTGAAAAACAACGAAATGTCAGAGATCTCGTTGCACGCAATATATTTTGATCACTTGCAAACATCATTAAGCTCTTTCCTACGCAGAGCAAAGAGTAACGCCTTCTTAAAAGCCTCTGCGACGGGAGGTGATCAATATAATACATGCACGCAATGGTTTTTCAGTTATAATATAAATCTATATATAATTCTGTATATTGCCCGATGTTTTTGCCAAACTTAAGAAACTTTTTTTAAGCTTGACAAAGGGGAACATTTGCCAAGGTCGGTCGTTAAACGTCATTAAGCTCATTTGTTATTCAGTGTTAAGAAGAACATGCAGTGTCAAAATAACAGCGTCGCTACTCATATGTCGTTAAATATTTATCACGTGGCACAGTTGCCCTGATGGACTAATTTCATATCGTATCATACCGACTTAACATTTGAACAAGATTTAATTTCAATTATGTAATTCGTAAGATGCATTTTACATTTTGATAAATATTCTGTACAAAATTCATATTTCATTGGATCTTATTAAAATATAACCGAATCATTAGCACGATTCAATCAATATTCAAATTATCCATTAGGCTTACAATTTTTAACTATTATAAATAATTCAATCCCACTCAGGACACATTTCATACGTATAGGAGATCAGAATTTAGATTCGCTTTTTAATTTGTCTTATTCGATATCATACGAACTGATCTAATCGCGTATGACATTTACTCCATTTACTCTTTAAATCATGGTTATTCGCAGCCAGTAATTGTAAAATTTCTCCATTTTTTATTTGTAGTTTTAACCCAACGTCTGCACAGGGAGCCCACAACACGGACAAAACGGGCACAAAGAATGCAAGATGCTTACCATCGCTCCATGGGAATGGCCAATCACACGCCAGGAAAGACAGGATACGCCAGAGTTACCCGAGATAATGGCTCACCACATTGGACTATACGAAGAAAATGAACATGTATAGATTAGAGTATATTCGGTGAATGTCATAAACTCGACTAAAGCTAGTCACAAACAACTGTAGAATTACTGGAGCATAAAAATAAGAAGATACGGCTAAGTCAACAGTAGAAAGTTAGAGGATTATATTTATTAAACTGTAAACTAAATAGCCACATTTTCTTGATGAGTATTTATTTATGAACACACAAGCACGTAAAGGTATATATAGTACATTTCTATTGAAAAGTAATAGTTGTGGGTTTGCATTAAAATGGGGTATTAATTTAAAACTTTATTTATGGATGAAACAAGATTTAAAAGCTTATATATTTTAAGTATCACAGATGATAAAAGTTAGACATAGAAAATGATGTACAGAATCTAATATATGTGTAAATAAAAATATCAAGACATAAAATATTTTTAATTTGAAATTTGTTAAACACTCAAACCACTTCTTGCGAATACCGCTCTATAATATGAACATCTTTCTAATAGGAACACCTCTCTAATATAACACCCCTATAATACAACACATCTCTAATACACACACCTCTCTAATACAACACCCCTTTAATACAACACCTCTCTACAATACAACATCTCTTTAATACAACACCTCTCTAATAGGGACACCTCTCTAATACAGACACCTCTCTAATACAACACTCCTCTAATACGGACACCTCTCTAATACAACACTCCTCTAATACGGACACCTCTCTAATACAACACTCCTCTAATACGGACACCTCTCTAATACAATACTTCTCTAGCACAGACATCTCTCTAATACAATACCTCTCTAATACAACATCCCTTTAATACAACACCTATCTACAATACAATATCTCTTTAATACAACACGTCTCTAATACGAAACCTCTCTAATACAACACTTCTCAAATACGGACACCTCTCTAATACAAACTCTCTAAAGCGGACACTTTGCTCTTTCGCAACGATTAAATGAATGACCAACCTTTACAATTAACGTTCGCGACTTTTTCTGTACACGGTACGTTGAGCAAAGTCTAATGTGATTGGACGAGTTTTTGTCATGTGACTACAGGAATCTGTTTACAAACAAAGAAAATAATAGATCAGCCGGGAAATTGAAACAGCAGGTAATCACAAAGCTGTGATAATCACAGGGCTTGAAATAGATATAAATATAATTGAGAGATGCACTTTAAGTTTCTTGTTCCTACGAGTGTCAACATTTCTGAATTTGACTACCATCTATACTGCCTCGTACTGGTTAGTGAAACCTACCTAGCTTGAACCAATTCGCAAACTTTAAGATGTTTACCTGAATTCTCGTACGAGGTCGTACTTCCTGAGCTTAAACTGTCGAAAGAAGTGTTGTCTAGATGTGGGAGGTAAAGTTTTGTCAGGGGACATATAATCGTTTATTGCACCTCAGTGCTGAATACTCCCTTCACTCAGTAGCAAAGAGCAACGCGTTCCTCTGCAGGGATTGACTCAGTCAGATCTGGCGAGTGTGTGTGCGGGGGGGAGGGGGGGGGGGGTCTGGGAATAAAAAATGCCTGGGATCCTGAGTTTTCTGACAAGGGTTTCTGCCGAGTTCACTGATATTCGTCCTGATAAATTATTTTCTGTGCCTGTTAGCATTATGCAATGCCCTAAAATTTTCTATCAGCTAAGCCAGGTCTGAAAATTTTCTGGGATCCTGGATGCTTGGACCTACCATCATTTCCTGCAATGATGCTCATCTGCAAGCTAAAATGCAGCACTGTACGTACCTGCTAAGTAACGCTGTGAAGGAAGTTCCGCAAGTTGTTGATGTGCTATCAGATCTAGAAAGTACTGAAATACAGAAAATGTTTTAAGAACATATTCATTATTATCAAAGATCATATCGTATAAATAAAATTTAAATATCGCACATGACTTCTTACCACTATGATACGAGCGTCAGAGCCAAGAATACCCAATGCATCAAGAATATCTGTCATAAACTACAGAGAAGAAAACATAAAAAATTGACCTCTACACTTTACCTGAAAAGTAGGGTTCACTGTGTAGGTAGCATTGTACAATAAGCTGTCGTGGTTTGTGTCTGGACTACCTGAAAAAGATATCTCAAACGTGGGGACCCAGTGTAGATAGTATTCTACAATAAGCTGCCATGGTTTGTTGGTCCAGTGTAGGTAGTATTCTACAATAAGCTTTGCGAGTCTTTGTTGTAAAAGACTTTGATATTAAATCATCCTCTCAAATCTTACCTCTACAGAAAATTCCCTTGGAATTAACGTTCTCTTTTTCCTACAGAGAGATTACTCAAATTATAAGTATGGTGCAACCATATAGTATTGTATACTACTACATATTTGAATAAACAACATTGCAAGCATACCATGGTAAATTAGCATCTGTGGCTGAGTTCCGAAGTGAAATTGCACAATAACAGACGAATGCTTTTAGGCTTATTTCAAGGAAAACACTAAAATTGAAAAGTATAAGAGTATTTCAGTATCTCCATAATATCTGTCTGATCGTCTGTGTGTTGTTCTGTCTGTCCATTACTGCCGTTTGTATACCAGTCTCAGGGAATGTTTAAAGAAACTACCACTACCAACGAACTGAAAACTAAGACTTGATAGCAGGGTTTTCAATTCTGTGTGAAGCTCTGGCTAATGGCGATGAAGCTATGGCGATAGATATTATTTCTATACCGATAAAATTTACAAATTTGGGCGAGTACACATAATAGAGACGTGACTAAATGTAAAAGCTCTGGCGAATTTGGGTGGGGTTGAATGAAAAAGTCTGGCGAAATTCGCCGTTCGCCGGCCTAAACTGAAAACCCTGCTGATAGTGCTGGACACTCCAAGCAAAGAGCCTAATGGGGTATACGCCCCAATAGTTATATATAGTCTAACTTTAAAAGCAGACGTCCAATACAAACCTATGAATATACGAAATGAACATTGCATCACTCTAAAATATAATAAGAAATAATTCCATTAACAAACACAACAACTAATTTTAAGATTTAAACATTTTAATGGCATATTGACTCATGACACTTATGTGAAAAGAGTCTCTACCGGCAGTCGTGCATGGGTGTTAAACAATTAATGTTAATGGACAATGACAAAGTCAGAAATATAGTACCTTCCAACACCTCCTCGATGCAAGCATTTCATTCAGAAATTCACCCTGAATGCAAACACAATACTTTAAATATAAATCGAACTGTAACATTAACATATTGAAGACGCAATGAGCTCTCAGCCTCTCTGCATAACACATAACAATAGAGTAATCGGAATGCCGCATTGTCCTTTCATTAGTTTGAAAATCCCGCTGTTCTCTGTGTCATCCAATCACTCATTGTTTTGTGACGTTATACAGAGGGCATATATTGTCTAAATGTAGGAAATGTAATCTAACCTTATAAGCAGGTGTGGTCAGAAATCCAGATTCAAAATCAAGCGTTGATACATATGTCTGAAAGATGTGAAAACACAATCGTGAAGAATACATACGATAGTATGGCGATGTCTTAAATAGCGTCTAGGATTAGCAAACCACAAGACATCGAAAGCTATCCTTACGAGCTGTCCAAATGAGTTGGGCCAGGCGGGATGAATCGTGTCACAAATATATTTTTCCTGACCACAAAAGATCGTTTGAATGAAATTTATACTGTTACTGGAATGAACAACTTGCATGTTAGACTAAATTTTAATCTAAGTAAAGAGAAGGGAATCAAACACCACAGCTAAAAAGAACGTAATGAAATTAGTAAAATTGCAAAATTTGGTTGCGAAATGTTGTAAAGCTTGGAAAATATAGTCTTGCAAAGTTCGTAAATTTTGTATACGTTTGTATTACCGATATTACGTGCGGAAATTGTCACCATTTTCGGCTCAAAAATGGTAACAATTTTCGCACGTAATACAAACATATACAAAATATGGAAACTTCGCAATGCTATATTTTCCGTATTTTACAACATTTCGTAACCAAATTTTGCAATTTTACTCATTTCAATAAGTTCTTTACGGGAATTTGCTTTTTTGGCCTTGATCAAAAATTAGTCTAACATGCAAGTTGTCTATTAAACTAAGCTAGTTCAACTTTGAAATCATCATTTTGGATGTTTATCAAAACGTGATAAGAACTTTATTAAACGAATCATCCCTGGCCATACGAATGGTCCCTGGTCCCTCCATACGAATTAAAGCACCTTAATAAAAGAGTCGATAAATACCCGTAATTGGCTCATCTGCAATGTGATCAATAATATATTTAGCCTACCATCCATTTCTATTTATCAGGTAACCATACCTCAACTGAATTAGGTAGGAGATTGAATTGTTTCGATTTCGCCAGACCCACCAATTTAATTCTAATATAACAAATTAAATTGATATACATTTGTAGTTTAAAACATTATTGAAAATATAAAAGCTATCAAAAGGCAGAGATTCATGAATGAAGACAAAGGACTTTAGTTTATGATGTACCTTCCTAAGTCAGACAATCTAAATGGTTTAGTTCTCCATAATACAACTTGCTGTGATCCTCTACACAAATACAGACAAACAGTGGTTACTATAATTTCCTGACTAAGGGCCTTTGCTAGGAACGTCGAAATATTTTTCAGGTAGTTTAGATACAAACCACGGAAGCTTATTGGAGAATACTACCTACACTGGACCATCACGTTTGATATATCTTTTTCAGGTAGTTCAGACACAAACCACGACAGCTTGTTGAAGAACACTACCTACACTAGACCACCATGTTTGGGATATCTTTTTCAGGTAGTTGAGACACAAACCATGGCAGCTTATATTGTAGAATACTATCTACACTAGACCACCATGTTTGAGATATCTTTTTCAGGTAGTTCAGACACAAACCACGACAGCTTATGCAGAATACTGCATACATATACCTACACTACATCCCCGCGTTTGGGACATCCTACTTGAATTCATGCATCGCTTACCGACAGTGTCCAGGCACAAACAACCACAAAGAAGTGATGAGAGATTCAACATTTCTGTGAAAGTTTAAAAGGACTAAAATGATAAGCATGATTTTCATATCCACGAGGAGAGAATTAAGAAGAGGAGAGAACTAAGAAGGGGATTTAAGGAGAAAAATGAAGGATTATAAGGAGTTTACTTAAGGATTATAAGGAGAGGGTTTAAAGAGAATATTTGTACCTTTGATGAGAAGGATCAGCCAGTATCACGACAGTTCGACCACTCAGTAAAGCATAGAGTAAATGAACAAGGTAACTATAACTTCTCAGGACACGAAGTGCACCACCACCTACATGGCAGAAATTTCAAGTTTTTTTATTGCATTTCAGGAATGAAGAGATGAGAAGATGCGAGGTGGTAGACATGGGGTTCATCACAGGCACTTTGAAATTCTAGGACTTTTGAAGGAGTTTCCAGGAATAAAACAGGGGGCGTATGAAGCCTGAATAAAAAATATACCTGGTCCATCAGATTTACGGCGACACAGTTGCTGAGCATAACACTGTAGATTTATTTTCTCTAGCCTAAGAAATAATAAGATAACCGTTATTGACAAGCTGTGATCTGATCATCCATCATACCATCTGCAATACTACCATACAGGTTTTGTGGTATTCCAGGTTACTATGCAGGTACAAATAGCATACCTTCCTCTGTCCTCAACTCTCCCGCGACCAGCCGACCCACTAGAGGATGCAACCTCACACATGTCTTTGTAAATCACTTTATATTGCGGGGTGGAACCAGGCGCGAAAAATATCGCGTCTTCTTCCCGATCTTTTTCATCCTTTCGAATATTTTCCGTCTTTTTTGTCGAAGGACTGACATCCTTAAGCAAGTCTTTCATATAACTAGTCTGAGTTTCTACAGCCGAAAGTTGCCTTCGGTAGGGCCGTGATGAACTTTGGGTAGCCGAGGGGAGGTCGCCGGTACTGCCGCTGTGGGGCCTGGATGCGAGGTTCGGGAACGGTGGAGTGGGGGTATGAGAACGTTCTATTGTCGAATCATCGCTAAGGTCAGCTAGGCTAGCTGTGGATACACTCGGGTTAACCGAACTGGCTCGGTCGGACATACCATCGGAAAAGTTGGCCCCTCCGGATAAGTCTTTGGTGGTCCTAGATTGGTAGAAATGAGAATCTATCACTTTTGGGTTCCCTGTCAATGACATAGCTTAGTTTAAGTTTCCAAAGTGTTTTTAGAGTAAATAGGATGTACAATAATTTCAAGGGTGGGTTGTAGCGAAGTAGTTGTAGTCGCTACTGTAGCGAACTACAATTTTCAAGTAGCCAGTAGTTTTTGATTACTTTTTTAAAACAGTAGTTGTAGTTATAGTGAACTACATTTTGCCTAAAAGTAGCCAAGTAGTTGACTACTTTTCAAACAGCGAATCGCTATTCGCTACTTTTTAAAATTGTTAGCAACTTGATAGAATAGCATGATATTGAGACACGGTTTGTTTAAAATCAATACTCAATTGCACTCCTGAACACTGTAGTGCTTACAAAAATGTTGCTTTGTGTTTACTGTTGCGACTCGTAAGTCGATTTGTTATAGATTACATTACTGCCTGAGTTAGTAGATGCTCCAAATATAGTAAAACTAAAAAATATAGTGTAGCGAAATAGCGAAATAGTTCGCTACAATTTTTAAGCAGTAGCTGTAGTCAGTAGCGAACTACCTTTGTTCAAAAGTAGCAGTAGTTGTAGCTGACTACATATTTTTGAAGTAGCTGTAGTTATAGCGAACTACAAAAATTTTGTAGTCAACCCACCCTTGAATAATTTGTACAATCATGTCATATAGTAAATGTTTTTGCTTGTGTGATATTACTACAAAAAATCTCTCTGGCATTTTTCCTATCAATGATAACGCTACTTTCAACTTACATGACAGAGAAAGGTGTACGAAGAGAGAAATGTCTTTCTCCGGGAAATCCTTCGCGATCTGATTCATTCTCTTCGACACAAGATTGAAACGATTCACTACTGAGCTCACTGCGAGCACTTTCAAACTGCACGGTAGCAAAAGAGAGAAACAACATTTCATAGTTTACACTTCGGAACAGATGACCTTCGTGGCAAAGTGGTTATAGTGTATGCGCCTTTCACCTATAGCTACCCACTAGCATAGCAGGAAATTATATTTTGGTTTCCTCCTGTAGTAACACTGGATCATTGAGGGATGATCCTTCATGCATGGATATAACAATTTAGTAAGAATTGATATAGAGCTATATCAAGTATGAGTAAAGTTAGTTTAGTTGAGTTTAATTTCAAGCAATGTGATTACTTACAGAGTTCCTGAGGAAAGGATCGGATGAAAAGAAAGATGTCGAATCTGCTTTCGGACTAAAAACATAATACATACATTATTAATGTTGGATACACCAATTACTACAGCAAAATTTGTTTGGTTTTAGTATATGCTTACAGATGTATATTTTTACGAAAGTTCATCACAAAACTACTGCCAATCGCAAATGTCGATGGAGACGGATCTAACAACGATAATATAACAACACAGTTCTTTTTTAGATGAGCTATATTAAAAAAAGAAACGATAAAACAAAACAGTTCCATAATACCTAGCAAAGGTGTTTCTTCTTTGATGATGGAGAACACTTCATATGGTTGATAAAAATGCTAGAAAATAAATATATACAATTTTGCATATCGTGCTTTGCAAGGGTCCATTTGCAGTAATAATAGTAATGCTTCAAATGTGGTGGTCTAGTTTAAGTAGTATTCTATAATAAGGTTTGTGTCTGAACCACCTGAAAAGATATCTCAAATGTGATGGTCCAGTGTATGCAGTATTCTATGATATATCACAGCACAATTGGTTTGTGTCTGAACTACCTGAAAAAGATATCTCAAATCTGGTAGTGCAGTGTAGGCAGTATTCTACAAGAAGCTACTGGTGAAAGCTCTCTTGACAGAGGAACTTCGCTGGGAAAGTCAAAAGTTTTTAAGTTTTTCACATAGTTCAGACACAAATGATAGCAGAAATGTCGCATACTTGGTGTATTTTCTGAAGAGACGCCAGACCTTCGACTGCACGGTAACCACATAGGGCATGAATATCTCTGAAAAATTAAGGTTATTGTTGATCATCAGCTCAACTCGCTGAGAATCATGCTAAGCTAGTTCAAAAGCAGTTTGGGACTATGGGATCTTTGCTTGTACAAGCAAACCAGACAAAGAAAATACACCTACCTAAGTGACAACAGATGTCTCTTTCGTTCACGAAGCAAACGTTCGATGATTTCCTGAAAGAAGACGAAAATAATTTATATTAGCATTATTAGAGTACACAATCATAATTATTAGATATACAAGGTACACAAATAATACAAGTTAGAGTGGAACCCCTTTACTGTCGTTCCAATTGAAGTGTTGCTCAAATATTGATTCAATACATTACCTCGGGCTGACCAATTCATTTGATCAAGTTCCTCAAGATATTCATACACTTCCTGTGAAAGAGCCAATTCCAAGTATTTGATCATTTCTGGTCACTTCCTTTCTATTTATGATTGGCTAGTTGCACAAACAACAAAGGTGATTGGTGCATTCAAACTATTCAACAGGAAGTTTACAATTATACTAGGAAGTGTATGAATATCTCGAGGAACTTGATGAAATGAATTGGTCAGCCCAAGGTAATGTATTGAATCAATATTTGAGCAACACTTCAATTGGAACGACAGTAACACAGACAAAGAGGGAACACAACAAAATGTTTGTGTTGGAGGTGTGTCTGTATTAGAGAGGTGCCTGTATTAGAGAGGTGCCTGTATTAGAGAGGTGCCCATATTAGAGAGGTGTCCATATTAGAGAGATGTTCGTATTAGAGAGATGTCATGCAGTATTCGAGAGATGTCAGTATTCGAGAGATGTCAGTATTAGACAGATGTCCGTATTAGAGAGATGTCTGTATTAGAGAGATGTCCGTATTAGAGAGATGTCCGTATTAGACAGATGTCAGTATTAGACAGATCATGTCAGTATTAGAGAGATGTCAGTATTAGAGAGATGTCAGTATTAGACAAATGTCAGTATTAGAGAGATGTCAGTATTAGACAAATGTCAGTATTAGAGAGATGTCAGTATTAGAGAGATGTCAGTATTAGACAAATGTCAGTATTAGAAAAGTGTCAGTATTAGACAGATGTCAGTATTAGAAAAATGTCAGTATTAGAGAGATGTCAGTATTAGACAGGTGTCAGTATTAGGCAGATGTCAGTATTAGACAGGTGTCAGTATTAGAGAGATGTCAGTGTTCGAGAGATGTCAGTATTACAGGGAATAAAATTAGTACTAAGTTTAATGCCATATTTCTTACATCATGAATTTGTCCTCCATTTGACAGTTGATAGCATGATGTGTCTTGTGCATTAGATGTTTCTTTAGGCACTTGTTCAGCATTGAGATTCTCTGCCATTTCAGAATCATCTAAAAACATTTTAATTGTATAGCTACATTCCCCGACTATTGTACAAACATAAAACATTAAAATATTTACCTTTCGTATCGGAAGAATTTTTCTCAAATTCGTTATCACCAACTGAGCTTTTTCTCGACGCCTGTAGTTTATAACAGAAACAATTAAGACCAGCACTCCATAATATTTATGTACTACTGGTAGTCGGTTTAAGTCAGTTATACACTACAAGCAAGTTTTCTATGACAAGTTTTGAGTTTTCATATGGCAAGTTTTGTTTGTCAATTCCATGTGTGTATGTCCAACCCATACACTGTCAGACAAACAAAATTACTTACAAGTTTTGAAGTCTTGAGAACAGCGATGGCTCCGTTTGCTTCAGTCAACATGCAGTCGACAGTCTCCTTATTAAGACCATGAAAATTTTTACATACATTCTAAACAACAAAACAATGCCATTTTATTTTATGGAAATTTGAAACCTAACAGTAACCTGAAAAGGTCTAAAAGACCAATATATAATAATGCATTTAACCTTTGATACTTCTACCCATTCGGAATTTTTTGTTTCAAGGTTTTCATAGCAACCTATTAGAAATAAAACCAGCATGAATTGTACTGGTATCAATTTTTAAAGACTGAATAATTGAACAATTTTTTGTACTTACCATTTACATAATTTAGGTCGGCAATTCGTTGTTTTAAATCATCGAGAAACAAAGGTCTATTGGCCGTTTTAAAATGGTTTGAAATCTTTAGAATAAAAAATTAAAGAAAACAACGAATAATTAAGAATGGTTTAATTTATACTTATAGTCTATACTTCGCTGGCATTTATCAAAAGCTAGACATTTTTATTACCTTGCTAAATTCATGAATGAAATGTTCTAAATTGTCCATGATTTTTCTATTTAAAACACAGTAAATCATTTCGATTAAATTTGAAAAAGTAGGTAAATGTAGGAATTGTCGAAATACTGTATTACAACAGTGGCAGTTAACTAACATATACATGCATTGATTGCATTAAGCCACAATTTTTCTGTCCAATATTGGGAAAGTTTACTCTGAACTAAGTTGATGTAGTAACACAACACAAAGCTGTAACCCTGCCATGCATAAAACCTTATCCGGACCTTTTCTGACAAATCATCAGTGCGACATCACTACATCAACTGAGAGCAGAATAGATTTCCAGTCCGATATTATGTTTAGCAGAACTATATATTAAGCATAATATCAAAACATTCGCTTACTTCTTGCTGTTGCTGATGTAGCACATACAAAATGGTCGAACAAAACCTCTCGCCTCAATATCATGTAAGATAAAATGGTGTACCTGGATGAAAGATCGAAAAATATAAAAGGATCGAAAGAAGAAAAATATAAGGTCATTTTATCCACTTGTTTTAATTTATACTATATGACCTGCACACAGTCCATCAAGCACTCCAGCATGTTCGTTGACTGCTTGACGAACTTGATGATAGCATGATTAACTGAATATTTATCTGATTGACAGGATGAATGACCGACCGACCAACTGAATGACTAACTAAATTGACCAAACGACCAACTACCCGATTGACTAAATAGCAACATTAAGTATGTAGTATGGGTTATATACTTACATAAGCATAAATATTTTCTCGGTCTTCAGAGAAAATCAGTTGAGTGTCGTCCACAAGCGAAAATGAAAGGCTGAAAATAAAGAGGAGGAATTTGCCCTCATCAATTGGCCTGTGGCTTGTAGATGCTACAGAAACTAATTAGAATAGAACAATGATGAAGTACCCAGATTGTGCATGATAGTCAACAGACATGACATGAACAGAGAAGGCATTCTGATCAAACATCTTGCCAGCATCATCCGGTATTGTGAACTATCAAAGATAAATTAGTACAAAATAATTTTGTTGAAGAGTGGTCAATATATTAACTTACGATTTAATGTGTATCTTACAAATTGCCCGGTCGCATGGTTACACCATATACAATTAATAACCAAATGACATACCATGAGAGACTGGACAAATATCTGTAAGATGTATAATAAAGTGCAATTATATAGCAAAGTTAAAATATTGAATATATATTTTACAACTATTTAATGATATTTTGAGGATAACAGTATATTTGTTCGGCTGCTTAATATGGTACAAAATATTGAATTAATGTATGTTAATATTTTGTCAATATTTACAATCAATTAATTAACTGCAATTATTATTTATTAAGAAATTAAAATGTCAAGAGTGTAAATTTAATATTAATTGATACCAACTCACCAAAGGTCTGGGGCCTTCATGTTCAGAAAATTCGGCTACCATAATAAAATCTTGCATGAATAAATTCGCCCAAGGATTTTTAGCGCAGTCATAACTTATTTGCAAATGTTCAGGCAGGTCAGCATATTCGGATTGAACCGAAGAATTGAAGGAAATATCACGTATATAAGAGGTAACTTGCGCAACAGAGCTAACACGTTCGTATGCCCCGTGCATTATTTCCATGCTCAAGAAACAAGAGAGTAAAAATCCATTGTTTTTAGCCTCTTTTGACAATAGATATGCTTTTGACAAGGTTTTGTCAAACCATTTCAACCATCGAATAAATTAGAAACTAGAAGTTCAATTTAAAATTCGAGAATTCCTTGGCAAGAGTTATGAGTTTCCTTAGTTTTCCCAAAAGTCCCCTAAAATTTAACCAGAATCTAAACTAAACGGTGCACGATTCCTGTTTTAAAGGATTTTCAAGTGAGAGCGCTGATACCGGAATAATGCCCCCCTTCCGGGTAAGACTTATCTGGATTTATGATTTTTATCCATTGAAATATTTAGGAATAACAGAGGAAAACATATTTTAGGAACGTGTTCATTGAAATCAAAGTGTATTTTACTCTAAGCTTAAATAAGACGTGAAAAATACCAGCAAAAATGAAATATTTAATGTTAAATATAAATGGTGTTGCTTCGCGAATATACGAATAAAGACCCTAGATAGATCACTGGTGAAAATCTCAAGATATTATGGGTTTGTATTTTTTTTTACTTTTTAAAAGTGCTGTTATCTCATAAATTGCAATAAAGGTGTTTTTCTAAAATCCTGTCCTAGCAAACCATTAAGCTTTGATATTTTGAAAATATACATGGTGATATCAGCTTAATGATCCTTAATGGGTTAATTAACCATCAAGTTAATTAGCAAATGTGTCCAAATGCACTAGACTTTATTATTCTACTCTGTCTAATGCCAGACAATTTTACCCGTCAAGGAGAACCTTGCACATTTCTAGGTTAAGGTATCGTAAAAAACTGGCAGCCCTAACATAATAAGCATGTACACCCATATTGAGGCATCTCAAGAGGACACTACATAATGCCAAGCCATGTACTATTTTCAGAGGAACCGACACAACAGGAGGATGATATAACAGATATAGATCTCTATGGAGATCTGCACCTTGATATAGCTCAGCAGATTTCTTATGATGAGGTACATAGCTAGTTTTAACTCTCTGGTTTTAACTTTAAAATAATTTAGCTCACCTTGGACCACAGTTATAGCCCAACTTGTTCATCTACTCCTCCCTTTCTCATAAAGGTTACCAGAACTGCCAACTTCACACAATGCTACCACTAGGTCCACTAGCACTCTCATTGACTGTCAAATAAAATCTTTAAAACATACACCCATCACCCCAATTACAGTATGTTTAGCCAAAACTTACAATATTGTACACATTGCATACCCATTTTTATAAACAATTTGTTCAGATGAAAGCAAAATGTGAAGAACAGGAGTTAACAATTAATGACCTTCAAAAGGAGGTAAACAAAATGATCTTACAACTAAATACAAGACAGTCTTACAGAACACACACTTACTTTCAAGCCACAAACTAAACAAGTCCTTACAGATTGTGCTAGCAAAAGAAACAACTTACTATCATGCTGTGAACTAAACAACACAACAAGTATTTATAGCTTGTGCAAGCAAAACAAACAACTTACTTATGTCTTATGCTGCAAACTAAACACAACAAGTACTTACAGTTTGCTAACAGTAATGTCTTCTAAATTGTTTAGAACAGTCACCTCAAAGAACAAAATGAAATATTAAAAAAGAATATTTCATCACTATATCTCACAGCTCGAAACGAAATCACACGGAAAGATGCAGAAATTAAGAGATTACAAGACATCGAGATCAGACACAGAACTAGATATGGACAGAAACGACAGCCAACTAAAGATGGTCAGAGCAAATAAAATATAACATAGGGCTAGTAATGCTGTAGTATGTGATGCCCACTTCTAACCACCAGACAAAAAGCCTTCCCATGTAGATTACATACAAATCATGGCAGTTCATTGTAATATTACAATATACTACCTACACTGGACAGTCTTGATGAGATAATCTTGACAATTTTTGACACACATAATAACAATACTAAATGTACACTTGGCGGACCTATTTTTATTAACATTACTAAAATAATTGGTCCATATGACACCAAGTACACATAAGAACATGGCAAACTTTAAAGTACCATAGCTACATATATGACAAATTTTGAAATTTAAATATACACTTATACCATCGATTATTAATAGACTGTAGTCTACTAATACACAAAAAATCCAAAGCGAAAGTTTTATGGTAAATATTGGCCAAAACTATTGTTGGCTAGGTACAATATACCTATTGTACAGAACTTGCAAGTGAGTCTAGTGAGATAGTATTATAAAATATAAGCTAAGCTTAGTTCTACAACTGTAATTATTGTCTTGCAACTAATATTTTCTTTAGTTTCTCATTTTTACCTTGCCCACTTTTAGGAAACATTGCTGCAAATAAATGTTTCCTGATTTGCCCACCTTGAAAAACTTTATAAACATGACCCCCACTGTCTTGGAAGTGATTAGTGATATTAGCAATTTTAATTGAATTGTCGATGAAGATTAATCCATTACGATAATAAACCGATGGGAGCAGCTCTACTTGATATTCTTTGAGTTTTGAAAATGGTGGATTGCAATCCTGATTGTGATAGAAAGCATGTTGTTCGTCTGTTACTACACTGCACATGCTGATGATGGAATAGGTAGAAAATTATACACTGTTTAAGATATAGAAAAATATAAATAAATGTGAAAGGTGTTTTAAGAGCTGCCTGCCTTTGCGGATCCTTTCGACAACTGAGATATCTGTTTTTTGAGGTTGCGATTTTCTTCCTGTTTAATTAAAAGATGCAAAGTAAGGCATAAATAAAACTTTAATTAATCGAGCTTTATTTATACCAGAAACTGTAACTCTATCGGTTCTACAGTTCTCCCCAGAGGTCCAGAAAGCATCATGATTCTGTATCAGTCTTATGATTCCTTATCGGTCCAGGTGTAGTTCATACAAAAATAGTTTACCTGTATAAGTTTAAGTCTTTCCATGTTATCTTTTTGAATTGCGCTGATCTTTTGTCGTTGTTCTTTATCTTTCTCCCACTTCTCTGCCTTTAGTTCAGTAAGCTGTTTTTCTTTCTCAATTAACATTTGTTCCTTTTGCTGCAGTTTTCGTTTCATTCCAGCTAACTGCAGATAAAATTATAATTATATTATGTACAGTCAGACATTTCTAAATACAAACCCAAAATGCTGTCAGAAGTTTTTGTGATGATTTGGGTCTGAACTACTTGAAATAAAGCAAAAGCACTTCAGTTTTTCGGGTGAATGACAATTGTAGGATAGTCAGTTACTTTACCTAATATGCTCTACTTTATTATTTTATTCTGCCAGTAAGTGTCGGAACTGGAATTTGGTCGGGTAATATCCAACCATTATTTCAGGTTCTGTTTGCAGTAGACTATTTTCTGTTAAGAAACTTGTGCTATTTTTTCATTAGATATTATATTTCTCGAAGCACAATGCATGCAAGTAAATAATCCAAATTCTACCTCTTCGCGAAGTTTTGTTAATTCTGTCACATGATCACTTGCCAATTGCTCTGTAGCCGTTGCAGTTTCACTTGAAAGAAAAAAATTGCTTCACCACAAAGTTACATTACAGTACACTACAATGTTGAGGATGTCAAACAATATATGACACTAAAATTATGATACTTCAGTGGCCAGAGCAGCCACCTTTCAACAAGCTGAGTTTGTGGGTTTTCAATGGACTTATGATGCTTAAATGTGAAAAAAGTCAGTCGGTGCTCTACTGAAAGTCAGGGAATGTTTTGTATACCTGGGCTGTGAAGTGTAAAATTGCTTCAGTGGATTGTCTCCAACAGGAGTGCTGCGTTCATCAGAACTTGTAGCTTTCTTTGAAACTTTTGCATCTTTCGCTCCATTTTTCTCCTTAGCAGATGAATCTGTAGTTGCATGTTTGCGCTTGTTGGCTTTCTTTTGTCGATGTTGTATTCGTTTGAATGATATTGTACACAGCAGGCACAACAGTTTCCCATTTACCTGTAACCAAGACAAAGCATTTTGGCTAAGCTTTCCCCTCAGAGATACTAGCTGTATAGTGTGAAACGTTGCTAATAACCTTTTAATTTAAATGGAAATGTGCACTGATCAATGTGCCTTACATTATTTTACTCTGTCTAACACCAGATGGTTTTAATTGACAAATGGAGAATGCTGCCACGCACAGGGTTAACACTACACTAACATTAATTTTCTTACCCGTTTTAAAACCTCATCAGGTTTTTTGAAAGCGCAAGTCAGTTTACATTGCTCACATGGAACAGGAGGACCGTACTTCTTTACAGAACTTTTACATCTGATATAAAATAAAACTTCAAATGTTAAAACTCATGAACTGCTTAACCACATTTTGCCCTAGATTGGGCTAAAATTGTAGTTTTGTATAAATAATAATAAAAGACATGACATGGCACTCAAACCTGTTACAATGTGGTCCTCCAAATGCAGCTCTTAGATTGCAATACTGACAACACTTTGGCTGAAAAATTGAACAAATAAGCATTATTATTTACAAGAACCAACGATTTCTGATTGGCTAACAGCCAACTGTGAAATTGTCAACATAATTTCAACAAGGTTAACGTTGATATGAAAAAATTAAACGTACATTATCACAGAATAGGAACGTTACAGAAAGTCGACGTCGTGGTTTTGCCCATGACTTTGGTGTAATGTTGTTGCCATGTTCCTAGCCAGTGCACTTATGAGAGGCATTCACCCCCTTGAGAATATTTAAAATGGTGGATCTTCAGGGGGGTGAATGCCACTCATAACTGCACTGGCTAGGAACATGGTGAGTGCATTTTGATAATTCATTGATAATACTACCTACAGTACACTAGACCTCCATGTATCAAATTATGTATTACCTGTCCATGAATTGCCAATGAGCTATCACATTTGGGACAAACTGGACTTTTCTCCTTTTTTCTAGAAATACATACACTCAGTATACCCATAAAATTTATCGAACGCCCACAAAAGGGCAAGGTTCCGTTCAAAGGTTCTGTTGGGTACGGCTAAGTGATTTATTTCAGAGATTCAACAATTTTATTACAAAATACAATTGTTATAATTTAAAAGCTGTCATACTTCGTCATATGGAATTCCAAACGACAGTAGATGCAGCAAGCTGTCGGATGAGCCTGTCGACAATCCTAAAACACAGCCAAATTGGTGACATATTAACATACTGAAATTCATGGCCAATAGTGGCAGCATGAATGATATCTGTGTTCATAAGACTGTTCTTATCCTGCCTCGGTGGGATGACTTTATGTAAACGTGGCATATTCAAAATATTTTTTGTTGTAATGAAACTAATAATATACATGAAAAAATTTCTCAATTCTGACTGGCCAAGAGCAGTGCATTTTATTTTAAATATAGTGCAAAAAAAAGAAATACAATTTTTTAAAATGTGACTACATAATTTTTTCATGTATATTATTAATAATAAGTAATAGTATGGTCTCTCGTGCAATTTGAAAAACATTAATAATAAGTAATAGTATGGTTTCTCGTGCAATTTGAAAAACATACACTCGTGAGTTTTTCAAAAAACATACACTTGTGAGCTTTTCAAAGACTTCAAATTTGCACTTGTCCTTGGTAGTCTTTGAAAAACTCACTCAAGCATATTTTTTCCAAATTGCACTCTCGAAACCATACTATTACCTATACAAACTGCACCTCGTACTACGACTTGAATATTAAAACATACACTCGTGAGTTTTTCAAAGACTTCAAATTGCACTCATCCTTGGTAGTCTTTGAAAAACTCACTCAAGCATTTTTTTTTCCAAATTGCACTCTCGAAACCATACTATTACCTATACAAACTGCACCTTGTACTACGACTTGAATATTATCTGTTTAGGTCAGATGAGATGAGCCTTCATATGGAAATTTTCATCCCACTTGACTGAAATCCCACCTAGCCCAGCTGGCTCGTTTCTCATATGAACACATGTATCTGCGTTATTACATAAACAAAAGGCATGCAAACCTGAGTGGAAAGTTTGAAAATTTAATAGTAAATATATAAAAAGCATGAAAATTCTGTGCCCAATATCTCAGTCGTGCAATACAAACTTTCCACACTGGGATGCAAATACTACTCGGTCGAGTGCCGGGTTATTAGCTGGGCTCATGAGAACTGGGTTGACTAACTCGCGGGCGCTCGTTACAGGTGATGTCAAATAATAAACTTGGCATCCGGATTCATAATCTCTTAATAAAACCTCAACACCTAGCCTAACCTGCAACAAACGCCTGTGAATTAGTCAAATCTCATGTAAACAGGCCCTGAGGGCATACGAATAATAAAATATTCCAAATGACGGATTTATTTACACATTCTACAAATCTGACAAATCAAAGTTAATTTGAATACATCTACGATAAATCAACGACTATACAATTCACAATTTTTCATATCTCAGGAAAATAGTAAAATATTCGACTAACTTTGCATAGATGCTCACTTCGGCTCAATTCTTCAAAAGCAAATCGCCCATGGCATTTCGAACATGCGAACAACCCTTCTGCTCCTTCATTTTTATCCATAACATTCAGCATCAAAACTATCTTTTTCGACGATAAAGCGAGTTCCTTACATAAAGCAATACTTAATAATACCACAGCCTAAATTGCACTCAATTTTAGCACATATTTCGGCCAAAATCTTGAGAAATTCAAGGAGTTTTTACTCGGCGTCCCTGCGAGAGCAAGATTAATTTTGTTTCAACCGCGCGTTAGTACGTAATTACGAAGATTGGGACGAGATATTATCCCCCGCCAAAATGACGTCACAATATTTAAATCTCACCGCCACTGTTCTATATACATTTAACTGGACCGAAGTTGTCTGACAAAATGACGTCATAATAAAATTTACTGATAAATGATTGTGTGGTTGTATCAGTGTTTTTAAATTAAATGCATTTTTTTCCAAGAGGTCTCTTGTGAATTGTGATGAGAGTGTTTCAAGTTTGATTCCAATCAAACACAGCACAAGTAGTCCAGTTTAGTTTAGGCTTTCTCAGGCCTAGAACTATCCTGTCATTTTGGTTTCCTCTTTAATCACTCGATACAACATTGCATGATGCTAAAAATGACTTCTATTGCTGACAGTTATTGCTTCTTCAAAAGTTAGAAATGAGAGCTATCCAGTATAAATAAAGTTAGGCTTCCTCCTGTAGGAACACTAGATCAATGAGTGAGGCACTTACTGGACCTCAAGGGCAGGCAGACATTCAGAACTGATACAGCTATCCAGTACTTTGAGAAATAAATCATTCATGGCACAGCAGAATATAGTACTTTATTACATATTACATATTACTGTATATATACATTTATCAAACTAGATATTTGGTCTAGGTCTAACTTTGGTAACTCGTAATAAAAATAAAATACAGATAAAAATTAAATAAGTCGGCAGTTTAATCGAGATGGAATTATATCGACAGACCAAACACACTCACAATACAGTACATCGTCTTGTTCTCCCATCTTACAGTGCAACTGCCTACAAGAAAATAAATGTGAAATTCATTATATTTCTGAAACTTTCACCTTGTTATTTTTTTTAAGAAAATAATCTGGTGTTAGAAAGAACAAAATAATAAAATTTATCGGGGTGTGTGGAGGCGCACAATGGGGTATCTCCAAAGTTGATTAGGGGGTGAGTGTGTTTACGGTAGGAATGATCGTAGATCAAGGCGAATGGACAAGTTTAGATGCAAACTGCATTACATCTTACCATCAGTGGCATTATCCCAATAGCATGAGCTTGCTGTGTGCAAACCTGCACCATTCTTTTGCATTATAACGCAAGTCACTAAAAATAAAATGCAAAAATTTTCAAGACAGTACAACAATTATAATTTGACAATTTTCATTATAATTATTACTTTAATATATCACATTACTTATAGTGAACAATTTTGTAAATTTCGGATTGATCAGTCACTAACCAATATATTTGAACGGTTTTCCCAATTTTGTGAGCTGATTTAGGCACTGTTCAACAACGTTTGAAGTCCACTGATTAACTTTATTATGTTGGTAAGCGTTGCCACCAATTGCTCCTTCTACAGACTATATAGAAACCAAATTATACCCTGCTATCAACTCTATAAACTAAATCTTTATTGCAAAATAAATAAGACAACAAATTTGTAAACAAATATTTGTCACTTGCCTCCTTGATGATATTACTGACTTCGTCGACCACAAACGTTGTCTAGATTGCAAAAAATTAAATTTTAGCAAAACTAATATTATATGAAAATATTACACTGTAGTTTCAAAGCATTTTTACCTCTTCTGAAGACTGAAATTCATCCATTTCATGCGAAATTTTTAAACTACAGAAAACTTGAAAACATTTGTTGCTAGGCTTACGCCACTAGCGCATCCTGGGAAGGTTAGGGGTATTCGGGGTAACCAGGGTAAGTAGGACCAGACAGTGTGGCTTAGGGGTATTTGGGGGTAAGAGACTAATGATGGGGCATTCAGGGGTATTTAGAGTGAATACACAGTAAAGGAGGATAAGCAGGAGTAAAAGAGGACAAGCAGGGATAGCTAGTGCGTAAGTAAGTATATTAAGGAGTATTTGGGGGTGAATACAGAACAGAGACAGCTAGTGAGAGGACAGTCAGTGAAAACATAGTACCAATATACTGGATGTCCACGTTTGAAATATTATCATGCGATGTCTAATCACTCAACAATAATGAGGCCCATTTCAGTAATGATGAACTTCAAAAAGTTACCATCTTTCACCTGTAAAATTTGCCGAATTTTAACTCCCTTCTCAAGCTTCCTTGAAGGATGAACGATGTTAAGTACTTCACTTTCACTCTACCAAACACCAGATGTTTTCCTTTGGTACTCCAGTTTGCTCCTGTAGTGTAGTACCAAAATAGGTATACCCCTCACTGATCTTCACAAAATGAAAAGGACTTTTAATTCCACCACGTTGAGTGGGTTAAAGTAATCATTAGACCGTGGGCGTAACTCATTCAAAACTTTGACATTTTTTGAATATTGATACATTGCAATAAAAATATTGACTTCCTTTATAGAAAAGACCTTGCTTCCTTAATTAAGGACCCATGGGTTATCAGTTATCATCCAGTCTCACATTTTTGAATAAAAAATTTATGAAGGCAAAATTTGAGCGAAGGCAGACAGGTGTCTCGTGAGAAAAAAAGCCTGACGTGAACAGTTCCGAAGCTATTGTTATTTAAATTATTTTTCAAATGAAAAAAGCGTTTCCAACAAATGCTCTTTCATTTAAATTTGTAATTTGCGTTTAATGAATGTGTGTTTACATTTTCACTGTGACAACATTGGGGTGAGCAAATAAAGTCGGTTTAAGAGCGAATGAAGCAAAAAATGTGAAGTTCAATTTAAATGTACAACTCTCAACAGGGTTAGAGTTCAAGAATTAAGCGTAAATAATGAGAGAGGATTCTTGGCTATATCAAAGAATGAACGGCGAGGAAAATAAGTTACCGTTTCCCGAAGAGTGTATTATAAATGAGACAATACCAGGCCATGATGCGGATAAGGAAATCGAAGATATTTTATCAAAAAGACATGTTTACGATGTGAATTCGTTGAACGAATTTGGACATACGCCACTTAGTACTGCTGCTTATGCAGGCAGCATAAAATACGTGAAACTTTTGATCGAATTAGGCGCGGAAGTGTTGCTCAAAGACTCAGACGGTTGGACGGCATTGCATTTTGCAATGGCAACAAAAAATTACGAAATAGCGAAATTTTTAATGTCTGTAGGAGCCGATACAAAAGAGCTTACAAATGACGGACAGAAGCCATTGGATTTTGTAAAGGACAAGAACACTAGAATATTTCTTGCGAAATACGGGGAACGGTGTGTCATGAGTAATATGCGAACTTCTTATTGTTAGCGTGAGTGATATATCGATGTGTCTGTCTGATAGTGTATATTAAAGGGGAATTATATTAAGTAGGCCTTCAAGGCTGATAGCAATCAAACTTATCAATGTCTGGTGAGCGCGGGTAGCAGGCGATCCGAAGGTTAACCAGCAGTTGTATTCAGTCGCAAAAAAATAGAATCGAGAGATACATAAAATTTTAATTCTGCTTGTAAAAACATATTTATGAATTATGGCAAAGTTTATAACGTATGTGTGTTTGTCTATAAGATAGAGTATCATTGTCAGACATCATAGATACTGTATATGACCCTTGTGAAGTGTAATTGGGTCATTCAATAAGTTAGAATAAGTCAATTTGCCACAAGTTAATCGTACGTGATGTCGTGATCTACGATAAAATCAAACTATTTGTAGGCACATTACAACTCGCCGGGGAAGCAAGCGGAAAATTTAGGCAAAGGAATGCGGAAATATATTGTATTTTTATTGGAATGCCATGTTGTTGGCAATAAAACATGGATGTTTGAGAATTCCTGACAATTTTATTTTAGTTCAATCAACTTGACTAATCTGGTAACACATGCAACCAGGAGCGCTTTCCATTAACACGGGCAGACCGGGCAGAAGGGTCAAGTTGTTGAATGAAACACAAAACGTTTGGGCTTTGGACCTATCTGACCTGAAAATTTAGATAAAATTAGAATGAGGTCCATTTTCGATAGATATTTGAGAAACATCGACCAGATCTTTCCATTGATACAGAGACAAAAATTCGGGTCTGACCGGTCAGGCCATTAAATGGAAAGCGCCCCATGAATCTGGTTATATGTGACCAGGACTACCCAAATTAACCAGGTTAGGTGAATCAATAACCAGGGTTATTTATAACATATATAGTCTGGTGAACTTAACCAAGAGAGTCTTGGTCAAATTGACTAGACTATATTAGGGAATCTGAGTCTTGGTCAAATTGACTAGACTATAGTAGGGAAAAAGGTTAAAATAAGTTATAACAAGCTTTCGTTGGGATGCAACTACCTGAAATTCCCCTTACATTTGAAATTCTCCGTATATTTTTCAGGTAGTTGTATCCCTACCAACGAAAGCTTGTTATTATTGCCACTACCTACACTGGCAAAGACAGTTCAACATTAAGTATAGGTTATTTCTATAGGTTTACTATTGTTACTGGTCCTCTAGGAAGAATGGTGTAGAATTGATAGATATATCCAGTAAAAATTATATTATAAGTGATATTTGCTGTCTTGGTGTAATGAACTCCGATGCTTGTGATGTTATGCTTGTGATGTTATTCTGAGTGTGTATCCACACCGGGCAGGCTTGAAAAATTACACTGATATCGAAGGAACTAGACTCAGTTCCGAAATATCACATACTCGAACCGGCCTGACCGCGTAGCTCAGTTGGCAGACAGGCAGAGCATTGGGCTAGTATTCCAAAGGTCGTAGGTTCGATTCCCATCGTGGCCAGGCATATTTTTCAGGCCTGCCCGGTGTGGATATACACTCACAGTAACATCACAAGCATTTATAAAAGTGGTTTTCTAATGTCAATGAGATTTTACCATCACATTCCCAGTCACTAACAATGGACTAGATTCCCAATGGTTGAAATTAGATGAAAGTCAGTCCTAAGCCGTAATTTGTATGCATATTGTAGTTAATTTGGCAATGTTTGCAAACATGATGTATTAACATTGAATTAACATGATATTACTGGTTGAACATAAGACAAAGAGATGGTCTAATGATATTTATACAAAACACATAGTCCTCAATAGAATTGAATTCTTGTCATGTAAAACTTGGCAACAAGTTGTTGAATTGCAAAACGATATTAAAGTAGGGCGCACTAGGAGACATAAATTACATCCAATGGAATTTTTATCATGATCTAACAAAGATGAATGGATTTTGAAGCAATTAGTGATTGAACGATTATCGGTGTGAGTATCAGGTCGATTTTTGCCTTATCGGTAGATAGTCGAAATCTGTAGAATTATCTGTATTTCCGACTGTGCAAAACCGATTGTTGAGAAAATACGCACTTTAAAAATTCTATACATTGCGCGTTGATTGCTGCGACGAAATTAATGTGTGAAGCGTGCCATTTTTGAACGGTTTTAACGAACTTTTGAATCGGTATTAGTACATGCCTGTAGAAAGTAGGAAGTTATGGAGCGACGCTACCTCCAAGCTCTAAAGGGCTAACTCCAAAAATCATTTGAAGCTAAGTATACAACTGCAAAAATAATTTAGGAGCTAGGCATCTAAGCCTGGAGTTACTGGCTAACTCCAATAATCATTTGGAGCTACGTTTAACTCCAAAAATCATGAAAAAACAAGGTATCTAAGCCTTGAGTTACTGCCTAACTCCAAAAAGTATGTGACTGTATAGCGAGGCGAGTCAGCCTATAGCCGCTAGGTACATACATGTAAGGTTGAAGTTACTTGCTGTGTTGCTAACTCCAAAAATCATTTGGAGCTTGTTATCTAAACCAGGAGTTACTGACTAACTGGAATA